GGCGGCCGGTGCGGCTGCCCTCGGTCTGCGGGGCTGGGCGTGTTGTTCGCCTTGAGGGAGGGTGCTGCGAGGAGTCTCCTCGACCGCCTGTTCAAGACGGTTCTTGTGTACTGACCTCAGCCTAGATGAATGCATATGGAGTTTATATAATATCAGGTTTATATAAGTGAAATCTAGAAGAGAAGCAAGGAGGGTGGGACTGAATTCATCCTTGGGTGAACTACTGAAGTCATTGGGATTATACCTGGGACAATGGTCTCCGTTTTTTCAAACTGGAAATCAATTCTTCCTATTTTACGTCTTGGATGATTATTAAACAGGTATTAACACTGTATAGAAAATACTATTTTCCATTCAGTTCAGGGCTCTACCCAGCTTCTGTAGATGTTAATGAAAAGAAAAACAAACTCATATTGGTTAGTTCTGTGAAACTAAGCTCAAAATTCTGTTCTGTATAACTGTCTATGAGCAATGAAACAAAGACCTTAGAAGTTTATTGTTTCATACTAATGTTCCAGCAAAAAGTGAGATAAATGTCTTTGGAAGATTTTAGAATAGACTAAACTCATTGCAATGTAAATATTTCTTCATTTATAAATGCTGCTTTCCTGCAAACATATTTCTGATACCAGAAACTACTTTGATCTTGTTAGCATACAAGACTTTCACTCTCCATTTAAAGTAAAGGCACTCTATATCTGTGAATTATCTTTCAACTTTTAGTCAAAGTTGACATTTTAATATTCAGGGCAATAACCTCTCAAGTAGCTTCTCTTGTGGGGTTGTAGCAGCTCCCATCATAGCATCTTTGTGCCTGTCATGTTGTCATGAGGTTACTGTTTGTCTCTGCTCTTGTTTTATTGGCTTTACTTGCTCCCCACACACACCTCACTTTGCTCTTGAGATCTACCAAGAATGATGGGAATAATTGTTAAGAACCTGATCCAAACCCTTGGAGTAAAACTCTTCTAGGGACTAAGGATCAGCCTCTTCCAGACTTACACTTAAGGAAAGAACTAACCTCCTGAGACTCAGATTCCTTAGCTTCAAGCTTTTTTTTGGTCTATGTGGCCAAAGAAATCAGATGGGAAAAATACCTCTTAACCGGTGCTCTGCAACTGTTGTTCCCAGCGGCTTTTTTCACAGCACGGTTATGCCAGTCCACATGTTAAGTGACTGAAACAGTGATCAAAAGAGGAATTATGGCTGCCAGTTTATATAGCCTTACATTATGATAGTGTCCCTATTGCATTGTCCGTTAGTTTTTTTCAAGTTGTTAACTGGATTTTTCCTCTGTGATTTCCATTATAACATTACCTGTTAACCAGTCTTACAAATTCCTCATGATTGATGATATCCTGAAGTAACAATTTTTGCAACTACAGACTTTTTAACAGTCAGTAATGTATGTACCAGAAAGCATAGTAGCACCTCTACCACCGCAAAATATGTGCTGTAGCTTTTAGGACTTCTGTAGGCTTCAAGCTTTTAGGTCTTCAAAAATGCAATAGCTAAATAAATGCAATTAATATTTATTATGCATTTTAATATGAGCATTTAGATCTAGAGCACTTGAAGTGAATTGCCTAATTCAAATGTACCTTTTCATGTTTTTTTTTCCTTTGAACATTTTATTCTCTATGTTCCAGTCAGAGTTTCAGATGCTTAGCACCTATGGAAATCACCCTACCTTATTTCAATTCTCTGTCTTCAGAATACTCATGGTTAAGAAGTTTAACTGAAACATACGCAGTCAATTTGTAAGCAGGTTCCATTTATTCTAGTTTCACTGAATCACTCTGTAACTGTGTCAGTGTCCACTTGCTGAGGAACTGTTCCACATCATCTGAAGCAATTAGATGACCAAACTGAAGATATGAACCATCGAATGCAGCTGGGGTGTTTTTTGGTTTTGTGTGGATTTTTTTTGGTGCGGTTTTTTTTTGTTTCAGTTTGTTAGGTTGTTCACAATAGACATTAATAGAAAAAAAAATTGCTGCATTTTGAGAGGAAATGCTAAGAAGTCTTACGGAATGTCACACTTCTAAAGTATGTTTATGCTGTATTTCCCAGAAGAAATATGTCTTTTTGTTAATGTCATCACTCTATTGACTTTTTTTTTTAAAAAAAAAAAACAAGCCACTTGGGTATGTGTAAGTTTATACATATCTTCTCTGTAGGTAGTGAAAAGATGTAACTGTTTTGGGAGATGTGTAGTTATTACGCTTCTCTTTAAAACTATTTATACTGATGAATGGGAAAAAGACATACCTTTTAAAATAGGTTTTTATAGTTATGGCATTCAAGAACTAGACCAGTAGTCTTTTTGTTAAGTCTCCTCCTGACTCCAAAGTAAGCTTTGATTTAGCTGTAATATTCATGTAAATGAAGAAAGATGAACTCTGTACAAGGCCAAAGTGAGGAGAAACATAGCAACACAAGGAAAAGAATTAGGTGAGGGAGGACTAAATTATTTTGCATGTTGAGTCTGGATTAAAGACTCTAAGACAATGGTGGGCTTTTCATGGTTCAAAAGGTTTAAAAATAAGAAAATTTTTGTCAAATAGAGAGAATTTTTTTTCTTTAGGATTTCTGATTCTCCAGATTAATTAAAATTGTTTAATGTCAGTCTGTAGCTGGTTGTAAAATAGTTCTAGGAAAGAAGGCTTAAACTTCCAGCTACCTGAAACTAAATGGAGCAAGTCCTGCCTTTTGACGGAGGTAACATTTCTCAAGAAGCTTGTCTTTTCAAGGCTTTTTCTTCCACTAGTTGACCACGCTCTGTCTCCATTGCTTAGAAACATTGTTCTATATAACGGCAAGACAAGTCTGGTCTTCAATACACACCAGCAGCCTTGCAGAATCACCTGGGTTTATTTCCTACATTCATGGGTTTTAATCTCATTTGAAGTCCTGACATCTGAGCAGGTGGGAATTTATGGAGCACATTATTTTGACAAAAATGAAAGCTGGAGGAGAGCTCTGTTCCAACAGGGATCCACAGTTACTTATTCTTGTTAATGTCCAAGTTCAAATTCTAAAAACAAGTTGAGGTTTGGTTTTTTGGTTTTTTTCCTTCCACCTTCACACTGTTTGGGCGCAGTACCCTGTTTTTTTCCTGACCTGAGTTTTAAAAACACCACTGATCCTTTTGCTTTTTTCCCCTTGTCACTCTTAACATGATTGAATGAAGCCTTCCAATATTTTGAACATTTGCAAACACGAATGCTGGAAGTGTATTAGACTGCCACTACTAGACTAGTTGAAATGATTTCACTTAGTAAGCAGTACGTCTTCAGATAAACCTAGAATGCTTATCTAAATAGCAAGAAGCAGAACTGCAGGTGGATCTACCTAGTTGCAAATGAGAGTACAGAATTGTTCTTTTAACAAGTGAAAACTCCAAATATTTGAAGGAATGGGATTATCACTGGGCTTTGCTGAATGATGCTCTTTATGAATACTGAGTTAATCAATATTTACTGACACCCATGGAAATGCACCTACTCACTTCAGAGAATTGCTCATTACAGTTGTAAGCTTCCCAGTATTATAGCCAATAATTTTACAAAATGGTGAAAGGTAAATGGAGTTATGGAAGGCCGGAAATAGTTTGTTCTTAACAAGCATTTCATGTGGAAATTTGTAATTTACAAAAAAAAATTCTGATACAAGATTGTGAGAAAATAACATGTTCTGGGAATGATAAGCATAGAAATGTCTGTCACTTGGCTTTGTCCTTTTATATTGCCATTGCTAGATATGTAATGAAAACTATATATTGATCAAAAATGATAGTAAACCTATGGTAACACTAACAGTGTAAAATACATTTTTCAATATGTCTACTATATAAAATTCTGCAGACTTCTGATAAAACTGTTCAATAAATTGTGCAATTTTTTATTATTTTTCTTTTTTTTTTAAGTTAAGGAATATAGTTAAATGTAAAGAATGATTGTTTATTTTGCTTTTGAATGCCCAAGAAGAAATGTCATGTCTGGAAAAAACAAGTTCCCAGTTAACTGGATCTCTCAAAGTGAAAACTAAGTATTTTTTAATTGCAACACTGTTGTGGCACTGCAGAGAACACCATATCTTCCAGAAAAAGCACAGTGATAGCACTGAATAGAAGATTCTACTACATCCTTTAGCAACAGCATTGAATATAGTATTATTTCCTCCAGTTGCAGCTGAGTGTAGCAACAAGTAGAATACTATGCCACATACGAAGACATGATCTGGAGTTTGGTTCCTACATTCTTAGTTTAATTTTCTCCTATAGGGAAACACAACAAAATGTTATTGTTAGAGAACTGAGAAACATCCCTGTGTAATGAGAGATTTACTTTTTATTCCTGGGCAATATGAATTGTTGGGATGATGCTGGGAGGAAGCTCTATAGCAGTTCTATTTAAAAAACAAACAAACAAATAATCTTCAGGACTAATTCTGTGAACTGGCATCTGTATTGTCTGATTGAAAACTCTTCTGACTTGTGAGTGGATGGGTGGCAAAGTAAATTCTTTAAAAAGAAGCATGTACTCCTTAACGTACCTGAATTTAAAGAGTTTAAATCCCTTCTACATATTGAATTTTAAATATATGCAAATTTTGTACAAGTAGCCAAAGCACAAACGTTTTGTGTTGTGCAGTGTTTTCTTGTACGGCTGTGCTTTGATCTGATAATTTTCTGACACTTCTGTTTCTTTTAGTCTTCTCTGTCTCCCCATGTTTGTATCCCAAGGGACAGAGGGCAGACTTAGTCATTTGGATTTAGGTAAAATAGGAAGTTGTAGCTTTGAGTTCTTCAGATTTCTGAAGAGAAACTTATCTGGTGAAACATTGTTGTTGTATTAGATTATTTTCTACATAAGAAGTCAGTGACTGAATACTTGTATAAGTCTTTATAGAACAATAAATTTTATTTAAATACTTTTACATGCACCTTATGGTATAAGCCTTGGTCTTGCAAACACTTAAGCACCTGAGAAACTTCACGGTGTTACCAGACCTCTTCCAGGGTCCCAGATACATCTTATTTTATCTAATTTTTCTAGTATTCTTCATTATTTTAATTTTATTACATTTTCTGTCTGCAGACATCCTGAGCCTGATACAAGCCACCATCCCAGGCAACCAGGTAAGCCTCCAGATCCAGGACTACCAAGCTTGAGTAAAAGCAGAACAGTAGATGTGCTGAAGACAGAACAGCGGGCACCTGGACGGAGCCCTTCTTCTATTAGTCTAAGGGAATCAAAATCCAGGACTGATTTTAAAGAAGATCAGAAGCCAAGTATGATGCCCAGTTTTCTCTCAGAAGCCAATCCACTGAGTGCAGTCACTTCAGTTGTGAACAAATTCAATCCTTTTGATTTGATATCAGATTCAGATGCAGCCCACGAAGAAGCGGGGAGGAAACAAAAAGTTACCCAGAAAGAGCAAGGGAAACCTGAGGAGCAGAGGGGCTTTGTGAAACATCCAGCTCAACAACAGTCTCCAAAGACAGCCGTCAAGCAACATGGACCTGCCAGACCTACCCCCCAGCAAACTGAGTCTTCCAGACCAGTGCCTCAGCAGCAGCAGCAGCCTGGGGAACCAAAGCAAGTTCAGAAACCAGGCCCTGGTCACCCGGCAGACTCTAAGCTGGAGCAAGGGAAGCAGCCACCCCAGCCGCGAGGACCACAAAGATCTCAGCCCCAGCAGTCGGAACCAGCGAAGCCTGTTCAACAACCAGCTTCTGCAAAACCTTCATTGGGCCCAACAAAACCATTACCGCAGCAACCAGACAATGCTAGAACATCATCCCAAGCACAACCTCCCACAAAACCATCATCGCAGCAACCAGGACCTGTAAAACAACCATCTCAACAGCCGGCACGGCAGGGAGGTCCTGTGAAGCCATCTTCCCAGCAAGCAGGGCCTTCAAAGCAGCCTTCTCAGCAGCCTGGACCTGAAAAGCCATCTGCTCAGCAAACGGGACCTGCAAAACAACCTTCGCAGCCTGGACCTGGGAAGCCACCTCCACAGCAAACAGGGCTTGCAAAACAAGTGCCACCAAAACCATCTGCTCAGGCTGCAGGAGTCATGAAGCACCTGGAACAACAACCCGGACTTACAAAACCACCAGGCCAGCAACCAGTGCCTGAGAAACCCTCACAGCAAAAACAAGCTGGTTCAACCCAACCCGCCGAGTCTGCCCCGAAGAAAACCTTTTGTCCTCTTTGCACGACCACTGAACTGCTGCTGGACACTCCAGAGAAGGCCAATTACAGCACGTGCACCCAGTGTCACACTGTAGTCTGCAGCCTGTGTGGATTTAATCCTAATCCTCATATCACAGAGGTGAGTTGTTTTTAAACTGGTGTTTGCTACCGGAGTACAAATTAAGTTTACGTTCATTACGCTGAAACACCAGATGTGTTAATTGTCTCATCGTGATCGCTTAAGGCCTTAAGTTCAGTGAAAAAAAAAAATCATGCTATTTGGGAAAACGGCTTGTGGGTAAAATGGGGTGAAATTGAGTAAAAAAGAAGTAATGCTTCTCTGTACAGTGTTTAGAAGTGTGTTTTCACTTCTTCATATAGGAAGAGGAGGAACTCCAATGTGACTTTTTTGCCATTTTGCTTCATTTTAAGCACTTGCTGTCTATGTTTGTAGTCTGACCACAAGAGTAATGTGCTAATACATTCATAAATAAGTAAAATTTGCTGCTATAAAAACTAAACAACAAAATATGAAAATGACTCTTTATAGCCTCAGTGTGTGTTTTGGAAAATGATGTGGGGTGGATTTGCTTTGAAACTGTGTCGGTGTTCTTAGCGGAAAGTCTGAGTCATGAGTTTTGACTTGGTGATACTCAGGTTGTTTCATTCTTGTGAGATGCTAAGAAAGAGATCTCTGTGGACTATTTCTAACCTTGATCACCATTCTTGCTGTAATTATATAACATAGAAATGGCATAGAAAGTAATATTAGGACTTCAAATGAGCTTACTTTAACCTGCTGTTTGCGGTGGCTTGCTTTATGTGCTTATACATATCTTTGTTCTCTACTTGCTCTGCATGGGAATAAGGCTTCATATGAACGTCTGATCTCTTCTTATTGCTTGAATGACTTCTCCTACATCCTGAAGTGCTAGTTTTAAATTTGCAGTGTAGTTGAGCTTTGTTTTCGGTATCAACACTTTTACCAATTTATAGAAATTCAAGCATAGCAGACCTGACACCAGAGACTAACTAGCGAGAAGTAGCCAGAAGTGATATTTAGGAAGCTTATTTTGTCTTGTTTTGGTATTAGTTTAGCTGATCAGAGATACTGATAGGAAGAAGTACAGACTGCTACCGTATTTTGAATATGACAAAAAATCATGTCCCTAGGTTTAAAATGGTATCAAAGAGTTGATGAGGCTGAAAGGGTCCTCTGGACATCATGTAGTCCAACCCTCTGCTCAAAGCAGAGGTTTACTCATAGCCGTTTTTGAATATCTCCATGGATGGAAACTCCACAGCCTCTCTGGTCAATCTGTTTCCTCAGTACCACAATGATTTAAAAACATTGCAAGTAGCTAGATTTCTTTCCAGTGCACATTTTTATCAGTGATAATTTTAAGTGGGTACCTGGTAAGAAACAGAAGGCTTTTTGCATCCAGCAAGTATATTATTTGTTGATTTGTTGTTAAAATTGCAAATTTAAAGCTGAAAGACTAATCGCAGTAACCATTGGTAGCACATTGCATCGTTTAGGAGTGCACTCTCTTGTCTGAGTTCAGGGAAATTTAGGCTTGAGGTGGTGGGCATTAATGCTTGGGCTGGAAAAGGATTGCAGAAATTTCAGAGCACCTGCAACTAACCAGGCACTCAGAGTTTATGTTATCAGGGCCTAAATGAGGAAAGGTCATAAAGCAGGACATTCTGGGCAGTTGGGATAAAAAAAGATATATTTATGTGTAACAGACAAGAAATATGATGCATGATGTTAAAGTCAAAGAGGAATTTTTCTAAGAAAACTTTACCTTCAAGTTCTGACAGAATGTTTTTAGACCAGAATTTCTTAAATTTATTTGTGAGTGCCGAGTTGTTTATTTCCACATTGTGCTCCTGGAGTCTCTTGGAACTCTAAGTTTGTCTTCCTTTCAAAACTTCAGATTTCTCATGGAAATGGTCAGCAACTTTGCTGTGTTCAAATGAAATGGATTTTGAGAGAGAGAGAGTTTATGTAAGAAGATCTTAAAGTATATGGAAATTCTGTGAATAACTACTAGTTTTTTGAAGTTGTTACTCTATAAGTGTGAAATTCAGGACTTAATAATTCAGACAATAAATACAGCTGCATTTAAGACTAACTGATTGCATACATATGTAAAAGCAGATTTGAATTTCATAGTACACATTGAAATAAACACAGGATATGCTTTTATTTCATGATGAAATCATTTCAGTAAATTAAGATATTGGACGTCTAATTTATTCAGCCATTAGTTCCAATCTCCTGACTCCCACTCAGATATTTCTCATTTGCTCAGCTTTGCACCACCAGCTGTCTTGCTGAAACTTCATTGTGGGTGTCCTGTTCCAATCTGCAGTGAAGTGCAACGACAATCACATCTGACTTTATTATTGAACAGTTAGAAAAAAGTAATAGAACCTGCCCTGGCACATACAAAAATTGGTCTTATTTCGGGTGCAAAGGTTCACACTTGAGTTATTCTCAAACTTTTATTCTAGTTTCCCTTTCCTTTCAATATTTAGCTTATTAACAAAAGTTTCTGATTCTTCCTTTACAGTAAGTAGTTAACACATTTCTTCTTGTGTAGCATGAAAACCATGGTTTGTGTCTTAGCTGTTGGTTTTCTTGATTACAGTGCAAGTTTTTTCTTTTGGCTTCCCTTATTTTAATTTCTCCTGAAGTGTTATTGGCCAAAAGTCTTTGTCTCTTACCCATGCACTTACTGACTAAATCTTCTCCTTGTATTGTTATGCTTTGACTTTTTCTCCTGCTCTTTTTGCCAAGTTTCATGGTTCTGTAATTCCATATTGTGCCTTTCCCGTGCCCTTTAGAGCTGCTGTTTTTATTGCTTATGTTAAAACACCTTACCGATTGGAAAGCAATAATTTCAAATTGGATGCGAAGAGAGTGAAAGGCATTTATTTAGAAAAGAATTTATATTACTTTTATTCTCTAACATTTTCCCCTATACAGTGCTTGAACTACCTTCTTAAGATATTCTTCTTGCGTGACAGTTCTGTCTTCATAACTAACAGAGTCAATTACTTTTCAAATCTAGATCTTTCTAAATTTCTATGTTGTGTATTTCTAACTGATTCTGGACAGAATACAGCAGGTTTTACAAACTGGCTAAGGAAGTAGATCACATGCATTGTAAAACCATTATTAAAAGTGCTGACTTTTTGAAATTTTTATTCATTGTTCTCATTTAAACCTCTTTTCAAAACGCAGAGGTACATGTGCTCTGTCTGTGTTAACTCGCTAGAGAGAACTGTGTAACCAAGAGCAGAAAGTGATACCTGCATTGCCACAAGGTCAGACCCCTTGAACTATTTCTCTGAACCGTCTGACGTTGCGGTCCCCTTGGGGAAAAGGGATAGTTGGCATCTTGGTTTTGTACAGCAGACCGGAGAGAAAACACACCATATATAACATGTTCAGCAACATATGTCTCTATAATCTGTCTAGGCATTGACACTCCACTCATCACCATGGCACATGACTGCCTAGCAACAGTTGCATAAAGTAATGGAAAAAAATATATAAACAGGTTTGACTGGTACTATGTTCCATTTTCCTTCCACATACATTAGAACCTGGTAGCAGGTGTGTATTTATTTTATTAACTGGTCATTTATTTTTCTCATTTTTAAAAAAATTTATTTTGCCCAAACCACTCCCACGAGCCATTAGCAACAGAAACCAGCACTTCCCCAAAAAAGATTCAGTCCTCTAGCTCATTTGAATAGCAGCAGGCTTTCTGAAAGCGAGCACAGACATCTGAGGGACTATCCATTTTCTTAAATGCTTATGTATGGTTTTTGATAAAGCTAGGCAAAAAGCATGAAGTGCTATTGTTAAATCTAAATTCTCAGTGCGTGTGCTTGATAGCTGGAAAAAATTTTCGTCACCTGTGAACTAGTGATTGGAAGATACATAGAACACAGACCGAGCAAGGGTGTAAAGTGTAGTAATGTAGCATTACATTGTGTATGATGGGCATCTGTAAAGCTGATGATCAAGTGGAGTGTTAAAGCTGTTAATGTCAGAAACTTGGCTATATGTGAGCTCTCTTCCATGAGCCCACCCTTGATGAGTATGTGTGCATATGTGAATGCCTGTTTTCTAGGTAGTTTTTAAGAGGGAATATTTTTCATGGCTTTTATCTACATTAGTCCGTATTTCATCCACTGTTTCTGTATGCATTTGAGAGACCATTTAAAATTAGTCTTGGAGCCAGGTATAATTTTTTACTTAGGTACTTGCTGAAAATTACACATTCAGATAATGTGAAGTTGTGTATATCGATGTAGGATTTGTTTATGTGCCAAAAGCTCTTCTGGATGGAGGCAAAGTGAGTTCTAAAAAAATATTTCATTGGCTTTATTTTTGACACAATGTGTCTGTATCAAAGTTGACTTAATCCTAATGGAAAAAAGAAGAGGATAAAAATAAACAGTTGAGTCTCCCAAAGTGGAGTGTATAATTTCAGATCAAGTAGAATATTTTACTGTATTTACAGATTTATTTTTCAATTCAACAGGAAAACGAATTTTTTGAACCCAGTGTGAAAAGATTTTTTTGTTGGTTGTTGTTGTTGTTAGAATTTTTGGGGGGACATGTCTATTTTTTTTTTCCTGCTTCTGGCAGAACTAGGAATTTTCTGTATCAGTTGCTCTAGATACTACAGCCTTGATTTTTTGCTCTTTCTTTCTGCTTCCATTTTTATGTACAATCGTGTCACAACTTTTGGTGATTTAAGAGTATCATGACTTGGTTCAAATCTTTATAAGGATTTTTGGTATTTGTATTTCTTTTTGTTAATGTCCTCCATCTCCAAGTATCCTAAACAGTCACAAATACTTGGGCATGAAGTATTTTCAATAACTAAAAAGAATTTAAGCAGTCAGAAATGCATTAATTTTCTTCAGTTATTATCATTATTATTAGCTTGTATAGGGAAAAGAATATATAATAATTTAATATGCATATAAGGAAGGTGACTATAATTCTTGTGGTGAATACAGAGAAGTTTTGCTTATACCTGCAATAAAATTAATAGAAATGACTGTATGAAATCTTTGTTGATTACATGACAGTAAAGGAAGCTATTGATT